GGCCGTTATTCCTTGTTATGCCAGGGGGCACTAAGGGAAACAAGGTCTCTCCCAAATCCTTCTGATCCCCCCTAGTGAGTTTATAGTCGGTCACCAGGTCCCCCCTCAGCCTTCTCTTGTGAAGGCTGAACAGGTTCAGGTCCTGCAGTCTCTCATTGTAGGGTCTGCCCTGTTGTCCCTGGATCATGCGGGTGGCCCTCCTCTGGACCCTCTCAATGTTGTCCACATCCCTCCTGAAGTGGGGCGCACAGAACTGGACACAGTACTCCAGCTGTGGCCTGACCAGTGTCGCGTACAGGGAGAGGATCACCTCCTTGGCCCTACTTGAGATCCACCTGTGGATGCACGACAAGGTCCAGTTAGCCCTGCCAACCGTGACCTCGCATTGTCGGCCCATGTTCATCTTGGAGTCAATAAGGACTCCAAGATCCCTTTCTGCCCCCATGCTCTCAAGAGGGGAGTTTCCCATCTTATAAGTGTGCTGCTGGTTACTACTGCCCAAGTGAAGCACCCTGCACTTGTCAGTACTGAAACACATCCTGTTTTTGTTATCCCACCCCTGTAACCTATCCAGGTCTTGCTGCAGTCTCTCCCTCCCTACTAGTGTGAAAAGGAGTGGGGGCAAACAGCAAAGCCTAGAAACATGGGGAATACCCATGAAAGAACATAGGCATGGGTATGCCTAGATCATCCCTGATCAGTGACTGTCCAACCTCTTCTTGAACACCTCCAATGACAGGGAGTCCACAACTTCTGTAGGCAGTCTATTCCATGGCTTTATAATTTTAACAATGAAGAATATTTTTCTGTTATTTAGTCTAAAACAGTTGCTGCAACTTCAAGCCACTGGTCCACGTCCTCCTCTCTGCAGCAAGAGGCTGCTAGAGGATTCTGAGCTTAATTTGGAAAAGGCAGTTAGAATGTGCCAAGTGGCTGAGATAAATGCCAGGTTTTAGAAGCTGAAGGAAGAAACAGAACAAGCTAAACTAAACAGGATCATAAGACTGTAAAAACCTAAGGCAATACACTTAGACTACAGAAAGGAGGACCTCACTATGAAGCAGGCAAATGGAGGCCAAAGAGAATTGCTTGAAGAAAATGGTCAGCTGCAGATGCTGTGGGGGGTTACTATAAGCCCATGCAATGTGCTGCAACAAATGCAAAAGAATCAATTGCTTCGCAAGAGTTTGCAGAAAGGCGCAGGATGCAGCACACAAGAAACAGCAGGTGCATGCTCTGTGAAGTGAGGAAAAGGAAGAATTCCTCAGTGGTACAATGCAAGAAGTTATTCTTCTGAGGACTGGACAATCACCCTGGACACCAATGGACTAATGTTAACTTAAAATTAGATTCAGCGGCACAAGTCAATGTAATACCAGAATACATTATTTAAAAAATGAAAACTAAACCTGTATACTATAAGAATAAGAGAGTGAGACTTAGAGCATATAATGGAAACCTGATTTCAACCAAGGGTGTTTATGTACTACATGTTAAACACAAGGGTAATATAGTAAAAATTCAGTTAGTAACAGTCCCAGGAAAACTAGTGACACTTATTGGGTTGCAAATGTATAAAATCCTAGATTTGATTAAGAGAATGGGTGCCACTGAGGGACTAGAAAGCAAGAACATAAAAGAAGAGTTTTACAATGTTTTTTCAAGGCATAGAGAAACTGTCAACTGAGTACAAGATAGAATTAAGAGGACCAAATACTCCCACCATACATGCTCCAAGAAATGTTCCCCTTGTACTAAGGGAAAAACTGAAAAAGGAATTAGATAGATCAGTTAACATGAACATAAAAGAAAAAGTAGAACAACCAACTGCTTGAATTTATTCACTGGTCATAATAGAAAAAAATGGATCCTTGTAAGTTGTGTCTGGATCCTAAGCAAATGTACAGGAACATCAAAAGGGAGCATTTTCCCATTTCCACCAGGGAAGAATTTTTGGCAATGCGGCAGAAGCTAAATATTTCTCCACTGGATACCTCTTATAGGTTTTGGCAAGTTCCCCTAGAAAAGAATATCACTCGATTATGTACCTTCAATATCTCCTTCAGAAGGTGTTGCTTTCGTAGGCTTCCTTTGGATTGTGCTCTACATCTGAAGTATTTCACAGAAAGACAAAACAAATTTTTGAAGGTCTTGATGGAATGATGGTTTATATTGATGGTGTATTAATTTGGGGAAATACTATGGAAGGACATGACTTGAGGCTAAGAAAGGCAGTAGAAAGAGCTCGCAGAGCAGGTTTGAAACGGAACAAACAAAAATGCAAATTCAGGGTCAAAGAAATAACATATCTGGGAGAAAAGCTGTCTGAGAAAGGCATGTAAATCGATCCTGCAAGGGTTAAAGCCATTACAAACATGCCACCCCCTACAAATAAAGACGGAGTGCAGAGATTACTTGGAATTATCAATTTTGTAGGGAAATATCTACTAATTTAGCAGAGCAGATCAAACACCTTAGATCACTTCTATAAAAAAATGCTCAGTGGATACAGGAACATGAACATGAAGCTGGACTTAAAAACTTGAAGGAAAAAATAATGAAATCTCTGATTCTAATATACTATGGCCCTAGATGACCCATTAAATTGTCAACAAATGCTTCTAAAGAAGGCATTGGAGCAGCTTCGCTTCAAAAACACGGGGATAGCTAGAGACCAGTGGCATATGCATCTAGGGCACTCTCTAAGTCAGAGTGTCTATATGCACAAATTGAGAAAGAAAGTTTAGCTGAGTAAAAGTTTCATATATTCTTTTATGGGAAGCCTGTGATAACTGAAACTGCTCATAAACCTTTGGGAACTATAGCAAAGAAAGGGGTTATCAGATATGCTACCCAGTTTACAGAGACTTTTCTTTCAACTGCAAATGTATGATCTAGACCAGTCGTTCTCAAACTTTTTTTTTTGCTGACCATTTGAAAATTGCTGAGGGTCTCGGCAGACCACTTAATAAACTTTTTTTTTGTTCCACAAATCAAGGCACACAACTCATATTTTAATATCAGTATTCTTATCTTTCTAACATGATGGATGTGCCTGTTTTTTGAGCAAAGTTCTTGGAAGTCGAGTGTAATGTTTGTCAGCTTTAGCCTTAGGTCTCCTTTCTGTGGACCACCTAAATGGAGTTTGTGGACCAGTGGTGGTCCGTGGACCACAGTTTGAGAACCTTTGATCTAGACATACAGTACATGACAGGAAAATATCTACTTATTGTAGATAAGTTGTCTAGAGCATATAACAGAAAATGACAGGATTCCAGACTCAGACATAATACTTTTATATCTGAGTCTGGAAACATGTTAATCTAATTAAAAGAGTGATTCCTGTCACAGATAAAATGTGGGCACTGATTGCAAAAACTACTGCTTAGGGCACCACACTGCAAAGTGATAACAGCTATTTATGCTGGTTGACCTGGAAAACAGATACCTAGCCCCTACTCTTAAGTACAAGGAAGAGCTGTCAGTACTGGATGGCATTTTGTTCAAAGGCTCACAACTTCTTGTTCCAGCAGTGCTAAAGACAGACATGTTAAACAGAATACATGATGGGCATCTAGGCATGAAAAATACAAAAGGAGAGCAACGGGTGCTTTATATTGGTCCAACATAAATAATTACATTGTACAGACCTTTACAGCATCTTCTACGTGCCTAAAATACAGATCAGAACAAAGAAAAGAGCCCATGATGGTCATGGAGGAGCCTACAGCTCCATGGTATCAAGTGGCCATTGACTTATTCATACATGCAGGAAAAAAATATGTATTAGTGCTGGATTAATAGTCTCACTATCCTGAAATTGCATTGCTTAAAAGCACAACAGCAAACCATGTCATAAACAGGGATCCTGGTTTTCTCTGATTAAAAAAAAATCTCCAATTTTCAAGTTAAAAAAATGTAACTCAAAATCCACATTTTTCTGTGATTAAAATTAAATGCCACTAATACATATATATACATATAGTGGTGTTTCATTTTGATCATGGAAAAATGTGGATTTTGGGTTACTTTTTTATCCTGAAAATTGGGGATTTTTTTTTTAATCAGAGAAAACGAGAATCCCTGGTTAAAACTCACATCGAATTGATTTTTGCTAGACATGGGATTCCACAAATTGTGACAACAAACAACAGACCTCAATTCAAGTATCTTGAGTTTAAAGAGTATGCAAACAAATATGGATTTGGTCACAATACTTCAAGTCCTAAATACCCACAATCCAATGGTCTGGTGAAAAATGGAGTACAAATAGTGAATAAACTATTTTAAAAAGCTACAGATTCACATATCGAAGTTTTCCTGTCAGTCTTAAGTTACAGGGCAACACCCCTGAAACATGGATTGTCCCCAGCAGAAATGCTATTTAACAGGAAACTCAAAACCAGGCTGCCAAATCTTGTGGATGATGCTCATCAGAATGAAAAGCAAGATGTGAAAATATTTTTAAAAATTCAATAAACTTAAACAAAAATGGTACTATGACAGGGGTTCTAGGGAGCTACCAGGACTGCACAACAAAGATATGGTGCTTATTTCAGATGGACAAACGTGGAAACAAAAAGCAAACAAGTAGCTCCCAGATCCTATAAAGTAGTCACACTGGAAGGACAGTTGTTAAGAAGGACCAGATGACACTTGCAGCTTGCAAGGGGGAGAAAAGAAGCAGCATCACAAGGTTTACCAAAGGAAACAGGGTTAACATCAAAGCAGCAAGAAATGACAGAGGAGATTGAAAATGACACAGAAGTAGAGACATCTGAACAAGGAAACCAAACAAGAACTGCAAGTTCAGTTGTTCTCCATGCTGCAAGGGAGCAGCATGTAAGGTTTTTTTCACCCCTTGATATCCAGGGGTCAAAAAAAACTATGGAAAAAAGTGGAATGGTGCGCACAGCGGCAGCATGTGCAACCCAAAACCGGAGCCAGAGCTGTGCTCTGCTGCTGGCCAGGCTCCACACAGCGCGACTGTTGCTGCTGCAGCCCTGGGGACCCTGGGGGGTAAGACTGCTGGGGCCAGCCTTGTGCTGGCTGCAGCCTTCTCTATCCCACCCAGGGTAACTTGCTGCATGCTGCGTGGCACAGGCGTTCCTTGGGGACAATTAGTGGCAGCACAAGGTGAGCCGCTGCTAGTTTTTGTTTTCAGGGAACCAAGCATCCATGCAAGTCTGGGCGTGGCCATAGTTAAAATGTGCTTTAACTATGGGTTGAACTAAACTGTCAATGTTAGTATTATATGTTACATGTAAAGGGGGGGAGATGTGTGGATACCTTTAAGAGTGTTATGTATAAGTTGCTGCATTTGCCTCAGGATTGCAGAAGGGAACAGCAGAACTGTAGGCAAGGTACCACTCTCTGAATAAACATGCTTTATTGTTCTACAAGATAACCCCTTAGTCTTTTCAGAATAACACAGTAGTAGTCTGTCTTCGAGATCAAAACTGAAAGCCTGGTTGTAATGAAGTCACACATGAAGTCATAGGATCTGTCTTCTTTCCCCCACCCTCACCCTCCTCTCTGGTAAAGCCACTGCACTGCTAATGTAAACTGAAAAACGTCTGTAATATTTTCACTTTAAAGGCAATTGTTTTGATTCCTTTGTGATCTGATTTATCCATAATGCAAACAAAATGTATTCATGGTATGCTCCACTAGTTCCCTATGCAGCGTTATCGGTAACTACTACTGGAATGGATTTCAGATTGTATTAAAACTGTAGTAAGTTCACCATTTGATTTTTGCAGTTTAATTTTGTTTCACAACTAATTTACTTAAGGTTCTGAGTAAGGAATTACTTTAGAGCTTTAGCGATGAACTAAGATATAGAGACAAACTTCTTTAATGAATATTGACAGTGATGACCAAAATTATACCAACTAACTGCATCCAATAAAGCTTTTTAGACTCTAAAAGAGAATAAGGGGAAAAAAGGTTAGTAGTTCCTAGAACTGAAATGTGCTTTTATTTTTTTAATTTTTTTTGCACACAGCTTGAATTTCAGGAAGTGAGATCATCATAAGTGAGATCGCATGATTGGGCGGTGAATGTCAAGGGCTATAGGCTGT